TTTCTTGTCTGAGATGGTATTGCCAAATGTTTGTTCCCAGTCAGTAGGTTTTCTTTTCACCCTGTTGGAAAAGTTTTTGATAAACACAGGAATTTAATCTTTAGAAGGTCTCATTCATCAATTTTATCCATTCAGAATAGGCAAAAGACATGGAAAGAATTTTCACAAAGGAAGATATTCAAATGACCAACAGACTTAGGATAGAAACACTCCAAATCACTGGCAATAACAGAGATGCAAATCAAAACCACAGTGAGATACCATCTCACTCCAGTAGCAGTGGCAGAATTTTACAGGACAGCAAGTAATAAATGTTGGAGAGGATGTGGTGAAATAGGAACTCTTTTATATTGTTGGTGGGATTGTACAATGGTACAACCATTCTCAAAGAAAGTTTGGCTCTTTCTCAAAAAGCTGAACATAGAAATTCCGTAAGACCCAGCTATTCCATTGCTTGGAATATATCCCAAGAAAATAAGAACTGAGGCTCAAATGGAAACTTGTACACCAATGTTTATGACAGCATTATTCACCATCATAAGAATATGGAAATATCCTAGATGTCCAACCACAAATAAATGGATTGAGAAGTTGTGGTACATTCATACAATGGAATACTAGGCAGCACACTGGAGCAATGATTTTGTAAATTACTACCTAACTTGGGAGGAACTGGAGAGCATTATGCTGAGTGAACTAATTCAGTCTTATAAGGACAAATACTGTACATTATTGTAGACTGAGTATGAGGATCCAAGGCACGGGGTAGTGTGGAAATACAGTGGTTAGAATGAGTGGGGGGAGAGAATGCTAATCATGGGGTAAACAATTCTATGGTGGGTGGAGTGAAGGGTGAAGATCTTTTGTGAAAAACAATGTATTCAAACTTTGTAAATCAGAATAAAATTAAACAAACAAACAAGAACTGAGACATGAATGAAGATTTGCATAACAGTCTTCAAAGCAGTGTTGGTCACAATTGCAAGAACATGGAAACAGCCCAAATGTCCAACAACAAGTAAATGGATTGAGAAATTGTGGTATATTCACATGGTGGAATATATGCAGCACTTAGGAGCAACAATTTAGAAAAATACTACATAACATGGGAGAAACTGGAGAGAATTATACTGAATGAACTAACTCAGTCTTATAAGGACACATTGCATAAGACCATTATTATTTATTATTATTATTTTAAGTTTTATACTGGTTTACAAAGTTCATAAAGTTCATATACATTGTTTTTCACACTAGATCTTTCCCCTTCCTTTACCAGTCCCTTCTTCCACTCTATTATGTGGCCCTGTATATTCCACCCATCAAATTGTGTAACTCTGTGCTTAAGCCCCCCAACCCTGGATCCTCCTACACACTCCTTATACAGTATTTGTCTTTATAAGACTGAGTTAATTCACTTAGCATAATGCTCTCCACTTCCCCCCCATGTTAAGTAGTAATTTACAAAATCATTGCACCTGGGTGCTACATAGTATCCCATTGTGTGAATATACCATAATTTCTCAATCCATTCCATTGTGGTTGGGCATTTGGGCTGTTTACATGTTCTTGCTATGGTGAATAATGCTGCTATGAACATTGGTGTACAAGTCTCTGTGCCTCAGTTCTTATTTTTTTCAGGGTAAATTCCTAGTAGTGGAATAACTGGGTCATATAGAATTTCTATGTTCAGCTTTTTGAGGAAACACCAAACTGCCTTCCAGAGTGATTGTACCTTTTTATAATCCCACCAATATCATATAAGAATTCCTATTTCACCACATCCTCTCCAACATTTATTACTTGCTGTCCTGCTAAACTTTGCCACTTGTACTGGGCTAAGATGGTATCTCATTGTGGTTTTGATTTACATCTCTTATTGCCAGTGATTTGGAGCATTTCTTCATGTGTCTGTTGGCCATCCAGATGTCCTCCTCAGTAAAAAGTCTTTCCATGTCTTTTGCCCATTTTGTAATTGGCATAAGACCATTATTATAAAAAGAGATAACTAGTAAAATGTGTATGAACGTACAAGGGAAGGTAGGGAGGGAACAGAGGGGTGAGGATGGACAGAGGGGAAATCACAGGACTGCACAATTTGGTGGTTGGAGGGAGTAAAATAAATGGAAAAGATCCAATGGAGACATGAAGAGGTGGGATAATGATGGGCATAGTTCAGTGGTGATTGTTGTTATATACCATTGAGTTGCTTGCTTCTCATAGTGATCCTATGTACAAGACCCCTAAACCCTGATGTATCCTATGCCAACCTCATCATCTCTGACACACTCACTCCCACTACCCCAATCACAGAATCGATCTATCTCATCAAGGGTCTTCCTCCCCTGCACCGTCCCTCCACTCTCCCAAACATAATGTCCTTCTCCTTGGACCAGTCCCTCCTTGGAACATGCCCAAAGTATGTCAGCCAAAGCTTCAGAATCCTTGACTCCAAGGAGCAATCTGGCTTCACCCTCTCCAGGACAAACCTGTTTGTTCTTGTAGCAGTCCATGGTATATTCAACACTCTTCTCCAGCACCACAGCTCAAAGGCATCATTTCTCTTTCTATCATCCCTAGTCACTATCCACTCCTCAATGCATAGCATGTAATTGTGAAGACTATAGTGCGGATCAGGCGCACCTTAGTCTCTATCCTGACATCATTGCTCTTCAGTACTCTTTAGAAGTCTCTCACAGCTGACTTTCCCAATGCAATTTGTCTCTTGATTTCCTGGCTGCTGGTACTAAGAATGTTGACTGTGGAGCCCAGTAAACTGAAACTGTTAACTAGCTCAGTCTCTTCACCATCCATACTGATGCTGCCAGTTGGCCCAGTGGTGAGTGAGAATCTTTGTTTTCTTGATGTTGAGCTTCAATCTGTATTGAAGATTGCTGTCTCTGACCTTCTGCAGCAAGCACTTCAGGTTCTCCTCAGTTTCAGCAAGCAGGGTTGTGTCATCTATATAACGCAGGTTGTTGATGACTCTTCCACCAATCCTGATGCCACATTCCTCCTTGTAGAGCCCAGCATCTCAGAAGATCTGTTCTGCGTTAAGACTGAAAAGGTATGGAGACTGAATACATCCCTGGCTGACCCCCTTCTTGATTTTGAAACATGTAGTGTCTCCTTGGTCTGCCTCTTGGTCCAAGTATAGGTTTTGCATAAGCCCAGTCAAATGTTCTGGGATTCCCATTCTTCTCAAAGTCAGCCATAGCTTATTATGATTCACACAGTCAAAAGCCTTTGCATAGTCAATGAAGCACAGATAGACACTCCTCTGGTATTCTCTGCTTTCTGCCAAGATCCATCTAACATTAGCTATAATATCCCTAGTACCATGACCTCTTCTAAATCCAGCCTGCATATCTGGCAGTTCTTTGTTGACATATTGCTCCAATCGTTTTTGGATAAATTTCAGCAGAATCTTGCTTGCATGTGATAGTAACGATATTGTTCTATAATTTCCACACTCTGTTGGGTCATCTTTCTTTGGAATGGGAACAAATATCAATCTTTTCCAGTCAGTTGGCCAGCTGGCTGTCCTCCAGATTTCTTGGCACAACTTAGTGAGCATATCCAGGGAGCATCTGTTTGTTGAAATATGTCAATTGGTATGCTGTCAAATCCTGGAGCCTTGTTTTTTGCCAGTTCTTTCAGAGCAACTTGAACTTCCTCTTCATCACCTCAGGCTCTTGCTCATACATTATTTCATTAAATTCTTATGTCATACAATTCCTTCTGATAAAGTGACTCTGTATTCTCCTTCCATCTTCTTTTAATGCTTCCTGGATTATTTAACATTCTACCCAAGGTATTCTAGGTATTGGAACACTAGCCAGGGACACCGCAGACGCCATTGTCAGAGAAATAGTTTTGGGCCTGAGGGGCAGCCCTCAGGCCAAGAAACAAAAAATGTGCACTGGTCATGCAGGACACATCCTTCTCTCATGGAAGCCATCCTCTTGCATCAGCACTTGGCTACAAACAGAAGACAAGTGGTATTAACCCACGAGAAGTCAATCCTGGAGTGGAAGTTTAAGAAAAAATGACTTTTTCTCAGAACCTTCTGAGAAAAGAAGTTGATACTTGTACTTAGCGACTTTAAATTGAAGTCATACTAGCTGCATCATAAGAGACTGACAGCAGCATGATGTGTTCAGAATCACAGAAATTCTGATGGCTTGAGACTTAACGCCATCACAACAAGGGGGTTTTATTGTTAGCCCATACTTAACATGATATCAGAAAGAGAGCTTGGTGGTGGCTTTGTGGTAGGAGAAAAGTGGAAAATCTACTGTGAGATTAACTGCATCTGAAAATCTGTTGGAGGGTTAGCTATGGCTTAGTTCTGACTGGACACTATACAACAATATATTTAGAAAATGATTTGGCTAAAACATACCACCAAGTGGCTTTGTTCACAGTAGCAAAGAGTTGGAAACAACCTAAGTGCCCATCACCAAATGAATGGATAGAGAAGCTGTGGTGTATTCACACAATGGAATACTACGCTGCATTGAACCACAAGGAACTCATGAAATATTATTATATTATTAAAAATGGATGACCCTGGAGGACATTATGCTGAGTGAAATATCTCAGTCACAAAAGGACAAATACAGAATAGTGCCACTGTTGTAAAATGGGACTGACATAGGGGTTGAGTGGAGACTAAGAAAGATGGGATAAATTATGTATACTGCTTTGAAACAGATGAGAGAGAGAACTGTTGAAAAGGTATATATGATTAGGTATTACTGTCATGACATAGTCCAGAACGAAGGCTGCATAGTGGAGTGGACTTGGAGGGAAGGGATTGTATAACAATGAAAGAATTTTTCTTTTACTTTTAAAAGAGAACAACTGGAGGGGAGGGGTGAGCAGGGGAAAAAGTACAACAATGAGTGAATGGAAATCCAAAATTTCTGTAAATTTTCATTAACATTAATAATAATAATAATAATATACAAATAAAAATAAATCCTATTTTCTTTCAGGTGCGGTGTCTAAGAGACTATGGAGAATTTGAAGTTGATGATGGCACTTCTATTATATTAAAAAAAAACAGCCAGGTATTTTTTTTATAAGATGCTGTACTTTAAAATCTTTTAAGAGTGCTGAAGAAAATGTTGAATTCAGTAGTAAAAGAAATACTACCTTATTATGTTCATTTATGTGGGAGAAGGGTGGGCATCCTCCTTGCAGGTGATTTGCTGCCTCTGAAAACCCACTAGAGGGACAGCAATGGGTCATTTCTGGCTCGATGATACACAAAGCAACAGTGTGATAATTTATAAGTTAATCATTATGTTTAATACATACTGTCTAGTTCTTTTTCTAAATAATTGACTTGAAATAAATACTACATATAGTAAGAAAGGCTTTAGACTGTGTGAATTATAACAAATTGTGGTTAACCTTGAGAATGGGAATCCCAGAACACTTATTGTGTGCTTATGTGAAACCTATGTTTGGACTCTGAAGCAGTCCTCAGAACAGAATAAGGAAACACGGCATGATTCAAACTCAGAAAGGGAGTGCGTCAGGGATCTGTCCTGTCTCCATATCTTTTTAATCTATATGCAGAACAGATCATTCAGGAGGCTGGGCTTTATGAGGAGGAATGTGACATCAGGATGGGAGGAAGACTCAACAACAACCTACATTATGCAGATGACAAAACCTGTGTCCTGAAACTGAGGAGGACCTGAAGCACTTGCTGCACTAGGCCAAAGATTGTAGTCTTCAATATGGATTGAAGTTCAACCTGAAGAAGACAAAGATTCTCTCAGTTGGGACAATTGGCAGCATCATGATGGATGAAGACATTAGGTTGTTAACAGTTACAGTTTGCTTGGCTCCACAGTCAACACTCTTCACACCATCAATCATGAAATCAAAAGACTAATTGCATTAGATAAATCTGCTGTCAGGGACCTTTCCAAAGTACTGAGAAGCAACAGTGTCATTCTAGAGACTAAAGTGCACCTGATCCAGGCCATGCTCGTCACAGTTACTTGCTATGCATGAGAAAGCTGGATAATGACTAAGGATGACAGGAGAAGAATTTGAGTGCCTTTGAGGTGTAGCACTGGAGAAGTCTTGAACATACCATAGACTGCCAAGAAAACAAATCGGTCTATTTTGAAGAGGGTGAAACCAAGTGCCTCTTCAAACCTCTCCAAAGTGCTGAAGAACAACAGTGTCAGTCTGGAGATGAAGGTGTGCCTGATTCAAGCCATAGTCTTTGCAATTATTGCTGCATGTCAGAAAGCTGGACAGTTGCTAGGGATGATAGAAGGAGAATTGATGCCTTTGAGCTGTGGTGCTGGAGAAAAGTATTGACTATACCATGTACTGCTAGGAGAACAAACAAGTTCATCCTGGAGAAGGTAATACCAGGCTGCTCCTTGGAGGCAAGGAATCTGAACCTTTGTCTGACATACTTTGGACATGTTGTAAGGAGGGACCAGTCCTTGGAGAAGGATGTCATACTTGCGAGGGTGGAGGGACCGCACAAAAGAGAAAGACCCACATAGAGATGGATTGATTCAATGACTTGGGTAATGGGGATAGGAGTATCAGAGACAATAAGATTGGCACAGGATAGAGCAGGGTTTAGGGTTCTTGTAAGTAGGGTCGTTATGAGTTGCCAGCAACTCAACAGCACATAACAACAACAATGTGATTTTTTAAAAAATATGTTTTATTTTATTATTTTTGTGTGTGTGTACCGTCAAATCAGATCTGACTGGTATAGGAGGAGATTGCCTCTCCTTCTCCAGCAGAGCATCTGGTGGAACATATGATTTTTTTAGATG